AACCCTTACACCTATTTAAAATAAAATAAACAAATGTCATACAAAGTTCTTCAAAAAAAATATAAAAAAGAGAGAATCAAAGAAAAAACCCAGTAAGTCGAAAACCTAAAAAGGGACTTATGCAAAAATTAAGGCATCTCGCTGGACTGAAAACCCAAAAGAAGCAGTCCAGACAAAACTCAGGTATAAAAATAAAATAAAATAAAAAAAAATTAAAAATAAGGATCACCCAAAATTCTTAAACAAAAACTCAAGAACAAGCTTGTGTAACTACCAAAGAAGAATAGGTGATAGCCAACTAGAACAAAAACCTCATTGGTTCTCGAACCATAACACCTTCACCTGCAAATCCTTTTGGAAGTTGAATGCGTATGTCAAATTAACTAAATGTAGGACTGGAGATCATCAAGGAGAATGGGTTGGGTTAAAATCAAATTTTGAACCATATATCCTTTTGTTTCAAAAATCGTGAACCATGGCACGTTACAACATTTAAAAGACCTAATTGAAGCAAGATTTAACCCGACTTCAAAAATATTTTCTAATTATCTGTGTCGGTATTATGCTCTCACATTACTATTTTTCCTTTGAACATATAAATCAACATTGGATCACGACCAATGATCTTTACATATTCATATTAGTAATAACTTTAATTTCAAAATCTACATGATCATTACATTAAAATTACCATTTTAAGAGAACACCATTATCTACAAGTCGACACTTAGCAGCAACGAAGTTCAAGAAATGAAAAATTGGTTGAGGAACTTAATCATTTGAAAGTTGTCCCATAAGAGAAATTTTGTTCAAGAATTGATCACTCAGGGGCTAATTGCCTAAAAGTAATTTGTTGAGCAAATGGCAAACAACCTCAAGAACCGGTCGATTTGGGGAAAATCTCTTCAGGACTTGGTAGACCATTCCAAAGATTGGTTAATCAAGGGAAATCCGTTTCCAAGTTCCAAATAGTGGGGGCATGCCATATAAAGATCACCAGTGGCTTCCAAACTCTTGTTGAGGCGAATTTCCTCAAGGACCCAATAGGCTGGGGAAAGATGAGATGCATGATGAAGGTTGTTGCTTGTCTCAAGTAAATTTCCTGCAGCTGAAAAATCCAAACAGAAACACAAAATACAATAACAACAATTGAACATCCCCATAATATTTTTACCTGATCACTATTCTAGCTTCTAACTTCAATCTGGAAAAATTAGGAAACCTCCTCAACTTATAGCAAGTACTCAACCTGTCTCTCATCTCACTAAAATTCACTTAATTGACAGAGTGATCACTCAATCAACATGCAAAACTGCTTATATTAAATTTGATCACGACCTAACAAAATTCATCACAATAATCAAAACACACACACACACATACACACACACACACAAACACACACTTTAAGGACTTTTCGGATGTAACATGGCTTAGGTTAAGGTAGGGTATTTTTGGGAAAGTAGGTTTAAACCTTTGGAGTTAGTTTCCTAGTTCTTCTATTAGTATCATACAAACTCTTTTCCTTTTAACTGGTACTAGAGATATATTCCTTTTTGTTGGCCTCTTTCTTTTTCATTCCTTTTCTCCTTGTTTTGAAGAAGTTGTTTTAACTTATTGATTTTTCTCATCAACTTTTGCAAATTTTGACCAATAATATCTAGTACCCAAAACTTAGACTTTGCTCACTCCCAAGAGCAACCAAAACTTGTTCTTTTGCCAATGACATGAAAACTTAAATAATTCCACCAAACTCCAAAAAGAGGGTGGAAAGCTTAAATATTTAAAGTCAATTAGATAACATTTATAGTTTTCTCTTTGAAACAACAAGCTTAGGCTCAAAGTGGTTAGCAAAGGATATTCAATAATATACGGGTTGGCTTGAAAGGCTCATAGTTTAAACAATAAAACTACCTCAGTGTATGTAAATCAAACTAGATAAATAAAATCAGGAGTATATCAAACTTGATAAAATAGTAAAGCATGGATACACTCAAATAAAGAACCGGTAAACAGTTGAAGTATTTGGCTAAGACCTTACTAGTTGAGGTATCTGGAGATTGATTGCAAGCTTTTTTATTATGTTTCCATCTTTCGCTTTCTCTTAGTAAGTCACCTTTCTGATGATCAAGCTTTATCTGATGGTGCTTTTAGATCATTTGTTCAATGCTACAGTTGTTCTGATTTGTAACTCTGAAAGAAATAACAGTAGCAATCTTGTATATTAATTTCAAGCAAACAAAAAAATTACAAAGAAAAAATACTCATAAGTAGTTATTTCTTAACGATAGTCTAAACTAGAATCAAAATTTACGGAAATTTAAAGTTTCTCCTTGGTCATTGTTATTCGTTTTCAAAGCGGAAAAAGTATTGCAACTTGCTCGTCGAGTTGTAAAAGTTGTTATTATGTCTTTCTCATTGTCTTTGTTATAGCAATTCAACTATTTTTGGAAAACCTTCCAAATTTGTACAATCAATCGCTCTTTCTCACACTACATGGTAATCTACCAGCTTCAGACATTTCTCTGCATTGGCTTCAGTATGAAATTTCATATTGGGAAAAACTAGAACAAACAGAGTAGCGAGCACGCTTGAAGTTGACTCCTTTTGCAATATTTTTCTGTTAGGAGCCATCTGCACAAAATTAGCACACAACCCAAAATTTGCAAGAAAATATGCCAAGATTTATGAGTGAGATATGAATTTTTGTAAGATATTTGAGTAAAAAGAAGGGATAAGAGGAATTAAGATTGGTGCAGTCTTTTTATAGGAAAGTAAAAGGCCAATCACGCACGTACTAGGCCTTATAGCTGAAACAAATGGCTAAACAATCAACTGATAATGAAATCAATGAAGTCACCATCAAATGTTTTTATCCCACAAGAAGTGAAAGGTAAACATTGAGTAAACCTGATAAGGGTGAAATCACAATCAAACGACCGAGAGATCGGGTAAGGGAGTCTTTTTTGCAAGGGGAAGGTATTAGCACCACACACGCCCGTAGTACTCTACGGTATCCACTCTTATTGTTCTAATCAAAGGGTGTGTAATAATCTATATCTAAGTTGTACAGGGAATGCATGCAAAAGAAAAGAGAAAATAATGTAGGGAAAATAAAGTTGTGCTCATTCGGGCCCTACCCCAATGCCTACGTATCCCTTTTAAGGAATCAGAGAAGTCGTAGTTCGACTTCAAATGTTTTTGTTGGTTTTTATTTTTTAATGAACAATATTAATTTCTCCTTCTGCCGAAGCTCAACCTTTGGAGACTCGGGCATCAGCACAAAAGTGAATTAACATGTTCTTTCTAAAAAGTTCGAAAGAAAAGATCGAAGGCGCAAAAGAGTTTGCATTGACTGATAGCTTTTACCTTAAAGAAAGATTTGGAAATTGTTAGATGTTTTATGCTTTTTTCGAGAAAAAGAGTTTTAGTCTTAATGTAAGGATGCCAAAGAAAGGAAAATCATCTAAGGGAGACTAACCGAGAATCCAATCCCTAATGTTATCATACAATGATTGACCCTAAGGTCGAGGATAAAAAGGGAAATTTCCACGCTATGTTAGAATGCATGGATACATATCCTAACGTCTAGCTCGGAGACTACTCTAGTCGAGCGATCCTAAGGGAAGCATGGTATAGCAAGCAAACAAGTGCTTTGGCAAGAGCACACAAACATGTGTAGCATACTGACTTAAAGGGATGGGAGAAACAAGAGAAATGTTTACCTAAGGGGAGCGTATCACCCGAAGCAAATAAGCGGGAGACGGATGAGATGAAAAAATGTGACGTCCAAAGCGACTAAACACCTAACCAAGATATAGAAGATCAAGGTAGGCGATAGTATACAATATGAACGATCACAGAGTGTCAGCATCAACCAATACGATGTCTTGACAAAGCATGGGGGTTTGATTGCAAAACCCTTCCCCAATTGACGGACTCGATACACAAGATTTGCACAACTCCGAAGCATCGACGTACAACGTGAGCTATGAATGACACAGACTAGAATGTGGGGTGGGTCGATTACGGGCCTTCCCTGATTGCTTCCTTTTGAGGACTTATAATCTGTATAATAATGCGGACACAAATTTAAACACACGTGCAAAATACTTACTTCAAAGGTAGGATTTTAAACAAACACAATAGCATACGGAAAGTGGTGCCTTCTACAGGACTTTAAACAGATACTTCAAGCACACGCTCTTTATTTCCTGCTTCCTAATTCACATGATCTCTAGAAAGCGATAAATGTCCCCTACTATACATGATCTCTAGAAAGCGATAAAATACTGAAATGAGATAAGCAAGAGAAAATACCAAACGAATATCAATCTGTAGCAAAGTATATCGAAACAAAGAAACTCGAAAAACTTTGAATAAGCTTCACCAAGCAAAGAAAAGAGTCATAAATCAAATGCTCGGGATAAGTGTTAAAGCATCATCGATGTGAAAATAAATCACAATTGAAATCTCAAGCATATCCGTATATCACACAATAAACCTGCATAAGACTCAAATCACAACAAGCAAAGGTGAATTACAAAATCTCAAGCAATTGGATCATCATAAAATAAAAAATATAACAAATTTTTATAGATCTTATCATCTTTTTTCATGAGAAGAAAAAGTTCAAACAATATGTTAATCATTATCAAAATTATTCAAAAGAGAATTACAAAATAACAACAAAAAAAAACAAGCCAAGGGGTACAAGCTGGAAACCTTGGTGTATGATGAAGTAGTCTGAGAGCTAGGCCCAGCAGTATGAGCCCAAAGAAGTTTTTTTTTAGAGTACTTGCTTCAATGACCAACAAAGTGACAATGGCCTTCAGGCTGCAAACGAATAGTAGGCCCGGCGAAATCAAACCCAGTCCACAACACTTTATCCATCATTCATTTTTTATTCTCTTATTTTTTAAACAATTTATTCAGAAAAATAACATAAGAAAAGAGTGAGACGATGTCGTTTTGGAGAATCTCGTTAGGGTTGAAAAACAATGACAATTGAGCTTCTTCGTAGAAAATCCCTCCTCACAGCGAACTCACGTATATACGAATCCACACTTCACATTTTCTACCCCTCTCCTTCCCCGCCTATATCGCCTCTGCTTCTGACTCCCGTCTTTTATTACGATCTCAGTATTGTCATTGTTCTGATTCTGCTACGAAATTGTTATGAGATTGAAGTAGCGATGATGATTATTGATGTTGTATTTGAATCTTTGATGCAGTGAAAATACCGAATGATGATTTGAAGTAGATTATTAAAGGTGATTGCAGAGAAGAAAGTTGCAGAGAGTTTCAAGATGAAGATGGTAGGGTCTGAAGGTGAATTTCAGAGGTGGTTATGGTGATTCACATGAATGTTTAAGGTGGTGATTGAAGAACGATGAAAATGAAGAAGAGAGGAGAAGAAAGAGTGTTTTTGGTGATTCTTCAGGGTGTTGAAGAATCGGTTATGGAAAGAGAATTTTCAGAGATTTTTCTGGTTGATTCTTCAGAGTATCCAAGAATGAAACGTGAATTCAGGTGATTTTATGTTATATCTGAAAGTTTGTTAGGATTGAAACGAATCTGCACCCTTGATTTCAGATTTCTGTTAGGGAATTGAAGGGTATAAATTAGGAGGTTAGTAGGTTTTTTAAATCTGTTATGAAAAAAAAGAGAAAGTTAGTTTTCTGTTATGGGTTTGTTTCTCTCTATTCCTGCTCCACGTTTTTTTGTATTCTGCTGAAGCCAGTTTGTTAAACAGTTTAAGATTCTATTTTTTCTCGAACCATTACGCAGGGAGGTTTATTATGTTTGAACTGGTTCTTCTTTGGATATAGTACAGGGAAATGGAATTGGTTTTATTGATGTTAACTTATTTCAATTGTAATTGTGAAATAGTATTTTTTCTGTTTATGCAAGGCTTTCATGAATGACAGAAAGCTCAGAGAGAGAGAGCACAAGAAATATCTTCAAATATCTTCCAAAGAGGCTCACATTATGAAGTGTCTCTTTGGATTCCAACTCAGGAAAAACTATATTGTCTTCAACATTACTATGAGCTCTGTATAAACCCCATAAAAGACGGAATCTTCCAGTAAATTGCCGAATTGGTAATCCATCACCATCACAAAGCTTTCCAGATTCTATATCTAAATACTCCAAATATATGTGTATAACCTTATGGAATTTAAATGTGGTATCAATTGGTTTTTCTGCAGAGCCAACATCACATGAGCTGCTATCAGTTTCCCATACGAAAACACTGGAATTGAGAGATGGGGCAGAAGAAGTGAAACTTCGTAAGGTCTTGGCAGCAGAAAGTGAACTCAGCCCCAAATTGTTAATGCTGACCCCTAACGCTGGTACACAACAAGAATGGGCGCCACAACATGGTTTCTGGGAACATTCATTTTCTGGTGTTTTTGATACATCTCCATTTTTGTGCAACTCCAGTATGCTTCTCTTCACTGATCTTTGGTTGAATATGGACTAGTTTGCCTCAATATTGGATTAACATCAAATTGTTTTAGATTATTGGATGTTGAGCTAGATGTTTCTTCGGACAGGTCAGAGCATAAGGTTAGTGAAAATCACTAGACCATGAAGAGCTTCAAAATCTATACGGAAGGACCAAGGCCACGACTTGAAGAAATGGCTTAATTTTGGTTGATGGCATGAAGATGGAGATAATGGCAAGCTGGGTTTATATTCTCACTTGCGGTCTTTTGAAAATTCTTGCACTGTCCATGATATTTGTAATTTGAGCTTCTTGCTTTATTATTGGTGTAATTATTTGAGTTTGTAAAGGACAATGATGTACTCTAACACTTGATCTTTGGACGAGGAGGTTTGGATGAGATTTGGATGGATTTCGAACAAGCTTTTCTTGACATTTTGATTGAAATTATAGCTCTTGACTATGAATGCAGTTTGAAATCTTTTGAATTCAATATCAATCTTCTCAATTATTCAAAAAGTGTTTGCTTTTCTCCTTCAAATTGAATTTGAATTTCTCTCAATTGCTTTTGAACTTGTAATTGAATACTCATTTCTTTGATCCTGAAATATTGTTGATAGAATAATGATGGATATTATGGACTTTGATGATGAATGTTGAGAAGTTGAACTTGAATGATGTAAATGACGAATGATATGCAAAATTCGAATAACGATGATGAATTGTGAATGAAACAATGATGTATGTTGAACTCCGCAACTTATAATTTCAACTCCAAATAATCCACATGCTTTTGCTTTCCAATCTTCTTGAGTTGACTTTTTTGAAAATTTAACGACCAAAATGGTTGATGACATTCGATTAGTCTTGAAGTCCACTTCATTTCTCAACAAATATATCCAAATCAAGCAACACAAATTGTTTTAGTTCAAAGAAATCGCAAGCCCATTTCTTAAGCTGTAGTTTGCACTTTAAATTTCAAATGACTTTATCTTCAAGCCTCGCTCAACAAGTAACCTGCAAACCAACGACCTCATCACAACACTAATGCCCTTGAAGAAATTCTTTGACTCAGATGAAATTGGGAGCATAGAAAACATCCATGTGATAAAATCCTAATTTCATGAGATACATAGGGAAATAAACCCTAATCTTTGAAACTGATGAAACTGGGTGGAGAATGGCCCTTATAGCTTGACGAAGAAGAAATTCTTAATGATCATGACTCACAACCCTAATTCCCTTGCTCATTGCTTGAGGAAGAAATCAACCTTTACTAGATACGAACTCCTATACCAGTGTAAAACCCTAATATTGCACGACCACTGAACTTTGAACCTCAAGCACTTTATTCAATGAAAATGCATGCTATGTTAGTGATCTAATGGAATATATGCAGATGAATGCAAAAGCCAAAACCAGATAACAATAAAAATTAGGAGGGTAAATTTTGGGGTATAACAGATACCCCTATTTAATCATCTTCAACCTGAAGGTGAGATTGACTCTAGCCTTTCGAACTCTCAAGGTGGAAGAAGATTAAATACTTAAAAGAACCCAAAAATTTGCACTCCGAAGCCAGTTAGGTATTATTATATTTTTTGGTTTTCTGTATTTTTGTTTTTTTTCTTTTTGGGTAAAAGGGGTTATCGGGGATAAATGTATGTTAGATCAGGGTTAGACACACAGAAGAGAACTTGGTTATCGAGGAACGTTTGTTCAGAGTTAGTAGTGAACACATGATAAGAAAGATATCGAAAATATATGTTCGGGGTTGGTAGCGAACACATGTAGAAGATATTAAAGACATATGCTCGAGTCGATAACGGACATACGAAAGATATCAAAGATGGAAGAAATCTGTTAGCTCAATCTCAACCAAATATCAAATATGGAAGAAATATGTCAAATAAATTTCAACCAGATATCAAAGATGGAAGAAATCTGTCAAACCAATTTCAATCGGATACCCCAAATGAAAGAAATCTGTCAAATTGATTTCAATCGGATATCAAATATGGAAGAAATTTGTCAAACTGATTTCAACCGGATATCAAAGATGGAATACTAACCGCAAATAGACTCTTGGAGAAAGAACACCGATTGGAGGCAAACTTTAACTAGCAAAAAAGAGGGACACTAGGCGAAGGTGAATTTTCCGGAGAAAAGAGAATGTTGGGCGAAGACGAACCTTAATCGACAAAAAAGGGACACCAGGTGAAGGTGGACCTAAGACGGAAAGACACCGGGCAAAGGTGATTTTACCGGAGAAAATAGAACGTCGGACAAAGATGAACCTTAATCAATAAAAAAGGGACATCGAACAAAGGTGGACCAAAGACGGAAAGACATCAGGAGAAGGTGAACTTACCGAAAAAAAGAGAATGTCAGGCGAAGACGAACCTTAATCAACAAAAAAGGAACACCGGGCGAAGGTGGACCTAAGACGGAAAGACATCTGGCGAAGGTGAACTTACTGGAGAAAAGAGAACGTCGGGCAAAGACGAACCTTAATCAACAAGAAGGGACACCGAGTGAAGGTGGACCTAAAACAGAAAGACAACGGACAAAGGTGAACTTACAGAAGAAAAGAGAATGCCGAGCGAAGAAGAACATTAACCAACAAGAAGGGACACTGGGTGAAGGTGGACCTAAAATGGAAAGACACCGGGCGAAGGTGAACTCACCGAAGAAAAGAGAACGTTGGGCGAAGATGAACCTTAACCAGCAAGAAGGGACACCGAGTGAAGGGTGACTAAAAACAGAAAGTCGTCGGGCAAAGGTGTACTTACCGAAGAAAAGTGAACGTCGGGCGAAGACGAACCTTAACCAACAAGAAGGGACACCGAGTGAAGGTGGACCTAAAACGGAAATATTAGAATATAGTTTGATTCTACAACCCTTAATTAGAGTTTTGATGATAACAAACACAAAGAACAAATATGCACTCTAAATTTGTGTTATTTTTTATACAGAAGTTCCTACTTAAACAACATCAGAAGTTAAGCTATAAAAGCTTTCAAGCTGAGCTAATCAGAATGTTCTGAAGAATGATGATCAGAATCTACGTTGAAGTAAAAGATACTCTGACTCTGAACTGAAGTCTAATATGCCAACAGATCCTCACATTTCTGAGTCATCAAAGTTCTGAAGTAAAAGCAGCATGCAAGATTCTATTGTTCTGAAGCGTTACTTTTCAATTAAGACAGTATCATATGAAACAGCTTCATTCAGACAAGAATCTTCTCAGTATGAAAAGTGCATTGAATGTCCATTATCACGCTTTATTTTGGACAAGATTTCCACGCTATATAAACAAGCTTAAAGGACAAATCGTTTACGATTTTCACCTACGACTGCTAATACATCTTAAACGCTGCAAATACTCATATTCTCTTATACTCTCAAATTGTGTAATATATCACAGTAGTGATACAATTTTTGTAACGAAAAGTAACAGTACACAGTAAATCATTTTCTTTTGATTAAGCTAGTTTTCCTTGAGATAAATCGGGTTGTGGTTATACTCAAGAAGACTTTGGCAATTGTCAAAGTAGTATTGTAATCAGTTTTGATTAGTGAATTAAGTCCTCGTTGGAGAGAGGCGAAATCACCTTGACGGGTGGACTGGAGTAGTTTGAGATTAAACAAACCAGGATAAAAATATCGTGTCTACTGCTTTTGTTTTTTAGTTTCAATGCAACCCCCCTTGTTGTGTTTTTCACTTCTTCAATTGGTATCAGAGCGCCTGGTTCTGAGTTCATACACTTAACCGTGTCAGTACAAGATCCATGCTTTAGAAAAACACTATGGTGGGACCAAGCCAAAACATCAGCAATGACTATCATGAGGACAAGGACAGAATCAACAGCAAACCTCCAGTCTTTGATGGAGAAAATTTTTACTACTGGAAAGACAGAATTGAAAGCTTCTTTCTGGCTCATGATGCTGATCAACGGGACATGGTAATTGATGGATACACATATCCTGTGGATGAAAGTTGTCAGAAGATAAATAGAAAAAGGATGTCTGACCAGCAAAAGCGTGATTTCAAAAACCATCATAAAGCCAGAATAATACTTCTTAGTGCCATCTCATACACAGAATATGAGAAGTTCTCAAATAGAGAGACAACCAAAAACATGTTTGACTCTATGAGAATGACGCATGAAGGCAACATACAAGTTAAAGAAACCAAGGCCCTTGCAATCATTCAGAAATACAAAGCATTCAATATGGAAGACAGTGAATCCATAGAAGCAATGTTCTCAAGATTACATATTCTTGTTGCTGTGCTGAAAGTTCTTGACAAAGGATATTCTAGTGTTGATCACGTAAAGAAGATCATCAGAAGTCTACCCAAGAAATGGAAGCCAATGGTCATTGCACTTAAGCTGGCTAAAGATCTCAACAAGATATCTCTGGAGGAACTTGTTAGCTCCCTCAGAAGTCATGAGATAGAGCTAGAAGAAGACGAGCCTCAGAAACAAGGTAAGCCTTTAGCATTAAAATCTAACAAAAAACTTGACTTTAAGGTTTTACAGCCTATGTAAGAAACTTCTTATGGATCCTCATCAGAAGAAGACGAATTATCTCTTCTCTCTAGAAGGGTCAATCAACTGTGGAAGCCGAGACAAAGAAAATTCAGAAACCCGAGAATATCAGAGAATCAGAATGAATCTTCCTCCGGTCACAGAAAGTCAAATGACAAAGAAATCATCTGCTATGAGTGCAACGAACAAGGGCACTACAAAAGCGATTGTCCGAGGCTTCA